TTTTTAAAAAAAAGAGAGAGAGAGAGAATCCTGATTGGTTACTGTCAGAGTCATGGGTAGCTTTGTAGGTTGTCTGTGTGCTAAGTTTGGTTGAATCTTGTTGGGTGATGCAATGAAGGGCAATTAAATGGTTCTGCCATTTATGTAGAATGGACTGGCCCAGGCCTTAATGGCCCATTGACAAAGGTGGAGGGGGGAAATGAGTTTCTGCCTCTCTTTTAGGAGAAATATTCTGCCCTTTTAATATTTCCTAAAATATTTCATTTTTATAGGAGAGGGGTGGGTTTTAACTTCCTACATCCTTAAGCGCATGAAAGCATCTGGCGGTGTAACTCATGGCCTGGAACCGCCAATCACACTAAACCCACTGGTGTTTTTCTTGTCTTCATCCCTATGAAGGCATTTGCTAGAAGCCATCATGAGTCAGATGTGTCATTACCTCATTGTGCAAATGGTGTCATGACCTCATCAGGCCAATGGCCCAGATTAATTACTTCTTCCATCCCACATTCACCCATATCCCTGTGCTATTCCTCTGGGGTTCTAGCAGCAGACCTGCTCTGGGGTGCACAAACTACAAAACGGTGTTGTTGTTTTGCGTCGTAACTTCCCTAACCTCTTACTAGCAGCTCAACAACTCTTTGCTTCTTTCTCTCCGGAGAAACCACCTCAGTCTTCAGTCCATCAATCCAACTTTCAATCCTTGTTGTTGTGGTTCACCAGCAGCCTGCAGAGCTGGCAGCGGAGTCAGACAGCGATGAAGCTGAGGAAGAACAGGGACCAGTCCTGGAGGCTGGGGATGGCCCGGATGAGGGCTCTGCGTCGGAGGCAGAGATGGGGCCAGAGACATCTGGGAGTGATGTGCGGACTCCGGAGTTTCCAGAGGCTGACAGTAGAGAGGCAGAGAAACAGGAGGAGCCTGTTCCTAGTGCACGCATGAGAAGAGCTGCCAGAAGGCAAGAGCAGCTAAAGCAGAGAGGACGACTCAGCAGTAAGGCCAAGAAATGATTGGCCCCACCCATAAGGCTTAAAAGACCAGCAACGGCTCTTGGGCTCTTTGTCGGAAAACAATGTTGGTAGTCTTGCTGCACTTATCTCTGGTCGGTGTCTTCTGCTTTTGAACTTTTGCCAAGAGAAGCCTTTGGCAGTTTGCCTAATTATACCAAGGTTGGTGATTAGACTGAAGAATTTGTGTTAGGAAGAATTTGTTTTAACTCCAAACTCCAATTTAGTTTGGACTATGCTGAGAATGACTTAATAAAGTCTGTTTGTTTTCTAACTGTTTGCATCAATTACTACCTACTTGGGCCTGGATCACACACTTGTTGGTTTAGCAACGTTGTTGACGCTTCTGCCATAAACTGTGGTTTGCAAACTGTTGTGACTCCGCTCACCCATCGCACAACAGCAAGACCAAGTGTGGTTTAACACCAGAATTGCATTCCTTTTTAAAAAAATGTTTCTAACAATTTTATTAATTTATGATGTAACATACAAAACAAAACACACACAAAAAACGAAAGAAAAACAGGGAAGGGGAAGGGAAAGGTGAAAAGTGTGAAAAAGAAGAGGAGAAAAAGAAAGAAAAGACACTGACTTCTCTTTGGTGCAGTAGAATAGGGTAATAATGATGTTTGAACTGCATTGCTGTGACAGACAGCAACGTATTAGTCAATCCATTTCAACCTAGCCTCTTTTAATCGATGGTATTTCTTTTCTAATAATATTTGAAATTAGGTGTACAATAGAACGGGGGTCCCCAACCATTCGGACCTCAGGAACCACTAAATTCATAATTTTAACTCCCGCGGACCACTAATATGATCTGCCTAATGACCGGCTGGGTGGGCGTGGCTGGTGGTCATGTGACTGGGTGGGCACAGCCAACTCGATGTCACTCATGTCGAGGGGCCCCTCGACAGCCTCTACTCACCCCTCCCCTTCCAGCCATTCCTCGCCTGCCCACCTGGGCTCCCTGGGGCCCCAACAGGAAGCAGTTCTTGGGGCTAAGCAGCCACCATGAGAAAGAGTTGGCAAAACAGCTGGCTCAGTTCAAATTGGATCTGGCCAAGAAGGAGGCTTAGCAGAAGCACCTCACTGAGGACTAGGAGCATAGGCTTTCCAAGCAGCGGGAAGACCTACAGGAGTGAAGGCAAGGTACTGACACCTGGAGGCTCAGTGAGCTGAAATGGTCAGCCAGTTCCAAGCCATAAGGCAGTCCCACTGGAACAAAGCCCTCTGGCTCTTCGCCACCAGCAGCACTTCCCTCCAGCCTTCGCCCAAAGCCCCACACCAGAAGGCCAAAGTCGGAATTTCTGCCCCCCTCCGACCCACACAAGAAGAGCCTCTAAAAAAGATGTTGGGACTCTAGAAAGAGTGCAGAGAAGAGCAACCAGGATGATTAGGGGACTGGAGGCTAAAACGTAGGATGAACGGTTGCAGGAACTGGGCATGGCTAGTCTAGTGAAGAGAAGGACCAGGGGAGACATGATAGCAGTCTTCCAATATTTGAGGGGCTGCCACAGAGAAGAACGGGTCAAGCTATTTTCCAAAGCACCTGAAGGCCAGACAAGGAATAATGGATGGAAACGGATCAAGGAGAGATTCGACCTAGAAATAAGGAGAAATTTTCTGACCGTGAGAACCATCAACCAATAGAACAGAAGTTGCCTTCAGAAGTTGTGGGAGCTTCATCACTGGAGGCTTGCAAGAAGAGACTGGACTGCCCTCTGTCAGAAATGGTGTAGGGTCTCCTGCTTGGGTGGGGGTTGGAATAGATGACCTACAAGGTCCCTTCCAAGTCTGTTGCTCTGTATCTGTATCTGCTATGGCGTTTAAGTGAATCACTGCAGCTGTTAAGCAAATCATGCCATGGTTAAGCAAATCTAGGTTCCTCCATTGACTTCGCTTGTCCGAAGCCAGCCGGGAAGGTCACATATGCCGATCACGTTGCTCAGGAGACTACAACTGTCATAAACACGCACCAGTTGCCAAGAGGCCAAATTTTGATCATGGGGATGTGGTGGGGTGGGGAGGGGGAGGATGCTGTGATAGTGATAAGTGTAAGGACTGGTAGTCACTTTTTTCAATGCCATTGTAATTTAGAAGAGTCACTAAACGAAAAGTTATGAGTCCAGGTCTACCTGCAATTCCCTCTCCTGATGTGAAGTAAAGGTTGCTGGAAGGATGCTATCCTGCTCCTTCTGCTTCTGTTCTCATCCCGGGCATCTGGCTAGCAATTGTGGAAGGAGAAAGCTTCAGAGATGCCTTTGATCTGATGATCCAATCTGGTTCTTCTTATGTCCTGAAGACAGTGAAAGTCCAGACAAAGGGGGCGGGGGGGTTGGTGGGTTTTTTTGACTTTGAGTTATTCATCAAAAAGAAAGAAAGAAAGAAAGAAAGAAAGAAAGAAAGAAAGAAAGAAAGAAAGAAAGAAAGGAAGGAAGGAAGGAAGGAAGGAAGGAAGGAAGGAAGGGGAAAAGGAAGGAAGGAAGAAAGGAAGGAAGAAAGGAAGGAAGGAATGAAGGAAGGGATAGATGGATGGATGGATGGATGGATGGATGGATGGATGGATGGATGGATGGATAAAAGGAGGAGATAGGTAGGTAGGTAGATAGATGGATAGATAGATGACAGACAGACAGACACAGACAGACAGATAATGGATGGATAGATAGATATATATGAGAGAGATTATATGCTGTATATATAAGAAAAAACCCTGACTAAAAAAGTATTATACCTGGCTAGAAGAAAAACACACATAAACCCTACGAAGAAGTAAGAAAATTGATACTATGCCTTTACAGGGAGGATATGGGTGTGGCCTACTGATGACAGCTAACGAGCTAGAAATGGATCTATTTAGGTCTCCCACCTAGCAGTGAGAGCTTGCTAGGTGTTAGAAAAGAAAAAAGCCCAGAACCGAGTAGATGAGATTCTACTGAGCTGGAGCTACAAAAAAACCTTGGCTACGTAGGGAAAACCTGGCTAGAAGAAAAACATATATATATATATTCATAGATTTTCACAGGTAGGGGTATGCAAGTTTTGGTGTATTCGGGTCTTTTCCCGTGTAAGATTGAGAGTATCTTGGTGACGTTTTGACGAGGTCCCACTCGAAACTTCCTAACAGTGAGGACAATTAACAAGTGGAACAGAAGTTGCCTTCAGAAGTTGTAGGTGCTCTATTACTGCAGGTTTTTAAGAAGGGACTGGACAGGCATTTGTCTGAAATGATATAGGGTCTCCTGCTTCAGTAAGGGGTTGGACTAGAAGACCTCCAAGGTCCCTTCCAGCTCTATTCTGATTGATTACCTCCAAAGAGTGATTAGAGAGGCAATAAAGCACTTTCTGCCCCCATCTTTGCCCAGGGATCTAATGGCTTGGTGTAGCAGGAAAGGAAGAGGCCTCTGCTTCTTAAGGAGCCATCTGGTGCAGTGGTTAGAAATGCAGCGGTGCAGGCTAACTCTGCATTCCCACCGCCGTGAGTTCGATCCTGACCCTCTCAGCCTTCCATCCTTCCTAGGACTATAAAACGAGGACCCAGATTGTTGGGGGCAAGATGCTGACTCTGTAAACCGCTTAGAGAGGGCTGTAAATACTGTGAAGCGGTATATAAGTCTAAGTGCTATTCCTTCTTCTTCTTCTTCTTCTTCTTCTTCTTCTTCTTCTTCTTTTTTTTTTTTTTTAAATTTGATTTAGGCTATTAATCCCTGAAAGGTTAGAGTGGGGGGAAAAAAATCTATCCCCACCCTTCCCTACTCCATCCTCTTCCTCCCCCCCTCCCCGCCGTTGCATTTCCCCAGCTGCAGTTATTGGGGCTCTCCGCACACCCCTTCTCTTCTACAGGCAGCAGGCGCTGCTCCTCCAGCTCCCCCCCCCCCCCCCCCCCCCCCCCCCAGAAAGGCGGAGGCAAGGCTGGCATCGCCTGGGGGGAAAGAAAGCGCTCCATCTCTCTCCCGAGGCGGTTTGGTTTCGCAGGGATGCAGCTGGAGCCGAAGACGGCGAGCGGGGTCGGCACGGAGTCCTCCAGCTGCTGACGGGGGTGGGTGAGGTGGGGGGTGGGAGAGGAGGGGCGCCACCAGCCCTTAACTCTACAAGGAGGGGGGGGTGACTCCATTGCGGACAATTCTGCTCACTGCCCCCTTCCTCCTCCTCTTCCTCCTCCTCCTCCTCCTCCTCTCTCCATCCCCCCCCCCGTGTCTTTGCATCGAAGGACCGTCCGCGGCTGCCCGCTTAAGCCTCACCTTCCCTCCCCGCCAGGTGGAAAGGCTCATGAAGCCGCTAAGGTAAGCTTGCCCGCCCCCCAAAAAAAAGGGTGCGGGGGAAATTGCGGGGGGCGAGGGTGGGGAGAAGGCAGGCAGGACTGAGAGGAGGAGGGTATCTTTGCTTCCACGCCTTTAATAATAACCGCGTCCCCTCCCCATAATTTCTCCGGCTTTGCCTGTTGGGTAGGACTTTATTTATTTCATTTAATTCCCCCCCCTCCGATGGAGAGAGGGGGGGTTACCGTCCTGCTGTTGACAGGACCAACAACCCCCCCCCCCCCCTCCCCGCATCTCTTTGCTAAGACGAGGGGACCTGTTGGGGCATTTCCCACCCCACCCATCCCGGTTTGCATAGCACTAAAATTCGGCTAACTTTTTTTTTTAAAACCCCTTTAAAATAAAGCCTTTTTTTCTTTCTCCTTTTTTTTAAAATTTGATTTATATGCCGCCCTTCTCCGGAGACTCAGGGCGGCTTACAACGCGTTAAGCAGTAGCCTTCATACTTTTGTATATTTTTACAAAGTCAGCTTATTGCCCCCACAAACTGGGTCCTCAATTTACCTACCTTAGAAAGGATGGAAGGCTGAGTCAACCTTGAGCCTGGTGAGATTCGAACTTACAGTAATTGCAGACAGCTGGAGTTAAATTACAATGCATTAGTCTGCTGAGCTATCCAGGCTCCGGCACTTGATCTCTCTCGCCACCTCCTCGGAAATAAAATCTCTCCCCCCACCCCCCAACCCCAACATCTGGATCCGCACCTTTACCCGAGAGTAAGTTAACACCGAAAACTCTCTTTATAGGCGGTTCTTCCAGAGGAGATTGTATCCAAAAGGTGCGAAGATGTTTAATCCAACTGGCTGTAACACCCCCCCCACCTCCCAGCCAGTGCAGATTTACTCGGGAGTAAAGTGGGAGCGTAGCTAGACTCGACTGCACCTGCTAAATTTGCAGAATAGCTTACTTGGGAGTAAGGTTTTTGTCTGGAGGGGTAGCAACCTTTTTCATGGATTCAGGATGCTGTTGGCACATAGCAGGGAGGCTTGAGTACAGCAAGCAGTAAGGTTACCGCTCTCGGTGCCTTTAAGGAAGGTACTTGCACCCAGTCAATCCCAGTTTACTTCTTAGTAGATCTGCAACGGTTGTAAGCTGCTAGTCCAGCCATGAGGGTGAGACAGTGGTCGTATCTCGGACTAAGTCAAAACTGTATTATAAACCACTTCAGGAAGGTGTTGAAAGCAGCTAGAGATGACACTTGCAATTAGTTTCACTGCCGGTCCAAATTAAGATGTCCTTTCCTTCTTGGGTGAAATCTTGGTCTTCCTTTGGTCCCTCTGAGAAAATAAATCACTCAACTGCCAGTCCGTGATCTTGTTACCAAGGATCTAGCATGGAATCTCTCACTTGAAACACACTCCTTAGAACTGACAGTCTCAGGCACCCGGGGTTGACTTCCCACAACCCTTTAAACTAGGGCTAAAATGGGTGGACTGCATTGTGGGAATCCATGTGCTGCTTTGAGGCACGTCAAGCAGGCACAAAATATTATGCTCAAACCTCTGTTTTGGGCATGGTTTGTCATAGGAGTCTACAGAGAACATTTTGTTGATCTGGGTTTAGTGTGTTGTACCAATCCTGGTGTTGTTAAGAGAGGCAATTCATAGCAGTCCACCATTCCTACCACTGAGAGAGAAAGAGGGATGGATGGATAGATAGATAGATGGAGAGATGGATGGAGAGATAGGCAGAGGGAGGAGGGAGGGAGAGGGATATATATATACTACCAAGTATATATATATACTTGGTCTACCCCAACATGTGGGAGGGGACATTCTGCTCCAGGTATCTCGATAGAAAAACACTTAACCTTTCCCCTGGCTCAGACTGATGAAGGGAAGAGAACTTGTGGCTGGAAGGTTAATTCAACTGCCTAACATGCAGGAAGCCCAAGTTCGAATCCGAGTAAGGGTATGGCTAGCTGATGAAAGCTAAAAAGCTTGAAATAGATCTATACTAGTGTCCCTTTATTTCTTTATCAGCAAAATATAAATTTGGTATAAAATGGTTTGTCGTGAGTGCGACTGCTTGAGGGCTTCTGGCTTGGAGCTGAAGGGCGAAAGGGAGCAGAATGCCCCCTCCCACATGTTGGGATAGACCAGGTGTCTCGATAGAAAAACACTTTGTATGTATGTATGTATGTATGTATGTATGTATGTATGTATTTTTCTTTAGCCAGGTTCTTCCTACGTAAACCAAGATTTTTATGCAGCCCTAGTTCAGTGAAATCCCACTCCACTAGTTTCTAGGCATATATATTATATATATATGTGTGTGTGTGTGTGTGTGTAATGAGCTGTCTTAAATGACACAGGAATCAGTTTTTTGTCAGTTTGGCAAAAGATACTAGAAAAAGTGGAATGCTTTGTAAGATTTGCTGTAATCATCTTCATCATCATCATCATCATCATCATCATCATCATCATCATCATCATCTCAGTCATTGACCAACTAATAATAGCTTTCAAATATCCTTCTCAAACCATACATGCGTGCCACCCTTACATTTTTAACCATTTTGCTGCTGATTAAGGCAACGTTGGCTGGGTTGCCCTCCTTACACAAACTTCAGTTGAGGTTGGGGTTGTGTGAAACCCAACACCTTCCCAAAGCGAAGACTTGCAAGAGGTTGAGGCTTGTGTTTCTTTGCCGAAAGAAAGGAAGATCTGTTTCTTAATTCTAAGGCTTCCATCCTTCATACCGTCGTATCTTCCTTGCCCGTTTTCCTTTAAGCCTCTCTCAGAATTGGGTGCAAAAGATATTTTCCTGAAACGAGGGGATTAGAGAGTTATTTCTAGGTGAGCAGGTTAGAATTCTGCCCATGTTATGTTCTACAGTACACTGTTAATTGCAAGACTGATTCTTTTTTTCTTTTTTTTGAACAAAAGTGCTGCTAAAAGAGAGAAAATATCTTTAAAGACCAGGCAGACAAATTTACACCCGCTAATTGATCTAATTAGCTCCTTTCTTTTTTAATGCACTCATTTCCATGTGCCAGAGGCTGGCTGGGGATGAAACTCACCATCTCGGAGGCAGTGTTTAGATTAATCTGTTGGTGCAACATGCTTGCACCTTGTTGTATCACAGTTTAATGCGTTGAGTGAGCGTGGCCAAAGATTGTGGCTCACTGGTGCATCTACGAAATTATGAACATGTCTCATAGATATGCATGCACCCACCCATCCACGTGCTGCCTGAATTCATGCAACTCTCTTTTGTACAGATAGTTTTCGACTTATAACAGTTCATTTGGCAACTGTTAAGGATTTTCTTGGCTCATAACCGATGTTATGGGTTATTGAGCAGAGTACCCCTTGAGTATGCACATGAAAACGGCTGAGAGTGAATAACCCACAGTTAATATACTGACACACTGAGTTGTGGTAGTCTTTTACTTTTTAGAAAAAAGTAAAGCAAAGTCCAATAACAATCCAAGTCATACACAGATAAGGTGATAGTTAAAATATTAATTCAGGGATATTCCAAGTACAAAGTCTTCTTACCAGTTGTTGTCATTACACAACAAAACAGTTGTTCTTGAGTTTCAAACAGGAACAAGTTCAGTATTAAAACATTCAATAAATAGTAGAAAGCAACAAGTAGCAATGATCAAACAGCGATCATACAGAGAGAACAGGTAGAGAGTAACAGCAAATAAGCAGATAAAATGGTGTAGTGTCCACAAGCCATGATTCAGGCTTCCCTTTAAGTACATTGGCTATAGAGCTTAGCCAATCAGGATACAGGATGATGCAATACAGTCTTAAAGCAATATAATACCTGTTGACAAACATGTATTGATAGTTTATATATTGCCTGACCAACTAGTTAGACAATAGCCATTTCCTAACAGCAACAGTTCAAAGTTACAAACAGCACTGGAAAAAAGTGACTTATGACTATTTTTCACCCTTACGACCGTTACAGCATCCCCATGGTTATTTGATCAAAATTCAGATGCTTGGAAACTGACTCATATTTATGACGGTTGCAGTGTCCCATGGTCATGGGATCCCCTTTTGCAACCTTCTGACAAGCAAAGTGAGATGGGGAAGCCAGGTTCACTTACTATGCTACTAATGTAACAAGTGCAATGATTCACTTAACAAACTTGTGGCCAGAAAGGTCATAAAATGGGGCCAAACCCATTTAACCAATGGTCTCACTTAGCAACATAAACGTTGGGCTCAATTGTGGTCATAAGTCAAGAACTACCTGTATTTTTGATATCTTTATTAGATTTTTTTTTAAAAAAATATGGGGAGATAAAAACTAACAAAAACTAACATTTAAAATAGGAAAAAAGGAAAAGAGGAAAGAGGAAGCAAAGCCAAAATGGAAAATATAAAGAAATGACTTCCTACTTTCTTTTACAACAGATACAAGTATAAATTTGCATTGGCTCTTACTCTATGTTTACCCCAAAAGGGGTGAAATGCTATCGGTTTAGGCCGGTTTGCCAGAACCGGCAGTGAAAAAATGTTTTAAAAAAGTAAAAAAAAGGTTCCCACAATTGCGCAGCACAGTTGATTGTCACAGCTGATTGTCACAGCTGCAATCAGTTGTCACAGCTGATTGTCGGAACCTCTTTTTTTTTAGTTTTTTAAAGCATTTTTTACTACTTATTCACCTCAACGGGTAGTAAAAAAATGCTTTAAAAAGTAAAAAAAAAGGTTGGCCATGCCCACCCAGTCACATGACCCACCAAGCCACGCCCACAGAACTGGTAGGGAAAAAATGTTGAATTTCACCATTGTCCCAAAACTTTCATTAGTGTTCTAGTATCTACTATTTTTTAATCATTTATCCATGTCTCATTCTTAACCTCATTCCCGGATTAACTTGCTTTCTCACGCAAAATGCTAAAATACATTGCACACGTAAACACACACAGACAAAAGCTGTCGTCACACGTAGCACCAGCCACGTTTAAGCGGTTGTGTGAATGCACCCACCAAGTTCAT